CGAGGTAGAGTCGAGGCATGAAAAATCTTTTCTATGAGTCGGTTATTTCCAAGATCAACCTTCTGCTAGGCGCCTAACCTAACTCAGAGGATTCATGTAGAAGGGACAAACACTGAAAAACTGAATTGTCAAATTCCACCTTCAAGAAATCAGATACGCGTTCCTACATCTTTGAACTCTCCTCCATAGTGACTAACTTTGAAGTCATTAACTGAAATGAACATGTTCCACCAAAAGATCGGTCCAACAATACCACTCACTAGTAACCAACAATCAAAACGATGGGAATAACAAACCTCTTCATCAGTTCACCCCCATTGACCAAGATTGATTTTCCATAGCGTTCGATAGCATTATAAGTAATAAGTAAAAAGCTAGAAGTGGTTACGACAAATCGACCCTATCCTCCCCAACAGTCAATTTGAGGATGTAGTCGTGGCCCAGGTCAATGATCTACGAACCCTTGTTGATTTTTCGAAGGAACCTGACTTTTGACGAGCCAACCCTTTTTTACCCTTTCCTTTCATTTTGAATGAATCACATTAAACCTATCTAACAACAGGCTTTCATAATGAATTCAAGTATAGTTTAGTCATCAAGTCAAGCCAACATGTGTCCCGCCTATCTTATATGCATTTTTCCAAGACCATGTTTCCAATAAATAGGTAAAGACGAGCAATCGGAGTCAAACCTAACAGGATCACTTTGGGCATATGTGAGAAATATTGATCATCATGTATGTTCTTGAATATTTAATTCTTTTAAGTGGTGAAATATAGATCACAAAATAACAATTAAAAACATTATTTTAATATGAAGTACGCAAATTTCAACAAATAAAAAATCATGAACTTTGAGATGATGCTTAAGTCTTGTAGGATAATCTTAAATAGAATAGAAATCAGCTATTATTATGGTAGGATTTTTGTTTCCTTTGAAATTAGGATTTTGTTATTTTTTTAGGATTTTAGTTCTCCTTTTAGAATTCTAGTTTAGGTTTTTTATATTGGTAAGATTAGAAAATTATTCACCTAATAAACTAGAGGTTCTAAAAAAATAGTTAGGAATGGGAACCGATAACCAATCGTGTCTAATTCGGTTCTTGGATGAATTGGAACCACAGTTATGGGATTATGAAACCGAATTTGTCATGTTTACAAGTTTTTTTATTTCAACAAGTTTACAAGACCCAACAAGTGCCCTATTCAAAGATTCATTTAGTTGAATAATTGAACCATATCATTGTCATTTATAGCAACTCCTAACCACACTTTACACAATATCCTACTCAACAAACTCTTTGAGGTGTCACATGTAGAGTAAAGTTTTGCCCTTGGCATGATAGCCACCTACGGTAGGGGTGGTAGCATGCATCCTTGCGATTACAATAAAAAAATTGCAAAATTATCAATCTCAATCTAGAAATCTGGTGCAAAAGATGGATAGGTTCGAAGATACTAACAACAAAAATTGCAATTTTTGACTGCTATGATTTTAGTTTAACGAGTTCAGAACACGAATACAGGTGAATAGAAATTTTCGTCGATCCCAAGCTAGGTTCGAATCCTCAAAACAAAATGCAGAAATTTGGAAATTTTCCTCATATTGATTGATAAGAGTTTTTCAATCAAACTCAAGGACAATCCTATTATAAATTTTTGTTTCCTTTCATATGAGGATTTTGGTTTCTTTTTGGGATATTAGTTTCCTTCCCTTTTAGTTTAGTTTAGCTTCCTTTTATTAGTAAAATTAGATAATTATTTGCCTATATAAACAAAGGTTTTGCACACTTTTCAATTTACCAATTCATCACAGTAAAATTATTCTTTATAAATTTTCGAGTTAGTTTAATTCTATTTTTGTTTCAAGAAAACAATTTTGCTTTTGCACCATGAATACAACAAAAGAAAAAGCGAAAAATGATTTTCGGATGATAAGTTGTCACAATCAAAGCCCAAACAATGCACATAGACTCGAGTATTTGTGTCGCGTGTCGATATCTATCTAGTTGTAGGATCTCCGAATCCTACAAATTTAAAGATACCAAGACAAGGTAAAAGTGTCCAAAATCGGTGACCAATTCTCTCAACCCACCAAATCGACGGGTTTTGATTGTTTCTTGTATTCTCTTCTAATTTCCCCTTCATAAAATAATTATTTTCAACCAACATATTTTTTTTTCCCAACTAAAATATTACATGTAAGACAAAAAATATATTAACTAAAAATTATTTAAGTAAAAAAAATTATATTATAATTAAAAAATTACTTACAAGATAAAAAATTACTTGTGTAAAAATTTGCTTATAAAGTACAAATACAACTAATAAAACAAAAATTAGCTTATAATTTATGAGTAGATAGAATTGATTGGTGGATAAATGGAAATACTTGTAGATCCATTAAAATGTGTGCTTGAAAATGAAGTTTGAACCTTTATAAATGATTCATAAATTTTGCTAAATAGAGGCTGAACCTAAATATATAATATAGTTGTATAGCATGTTTGGCCAAGCTAAGATTAACAGGTGTTCTAAAAAGCACCTTATTGGAGAAGTATCAAGCGGTTACTTCTCAAATAAAGTGCCTTTGAACACCTTTTAAGCTTAGCCATACATCCTAAATATATAATACTTGTATAGCATCTTCGGCTAAGCTAAGCGTGTTCTAAAAAGCACCTTATCTGAGAAGTATCAAGAGGGTACTTCTCAAATAAAGTGCCTGTGAGCACCTTTTAAGCTTGCCATACATGCTCATAATCATTGTTCTAGGAAAAATGAAATTCAATCCAAATACGCTTCTGTTTCTTTTTTTTCCCTGCCTATATCTCTATAAGATTTTGTGTAGATCAAGAGATAATAGAAGAAGTCCATAGTGTGTGTGAGATAGAAAGAGGGAGAGAGAGAGGGATGGCACAAATGCCATCATCTACAATTTCTCCTTCCTTTTTAATGGTTTTTGATGATCAATAGACTATTGTTCACCACCAAATAAAAAATTCGACTACGCATTCACATGGCCCGCAAATGATGACAACACTTCGTAGAGTTAAGAAAGAAAATTTAGGTTGTTTACAAGAAGGTGCAATTGCGGGCATCCAATGGCATATTAAACTGACAAAACGAGCCAGTAAAGCTCTAAAGGGTGGAAAATGAGAAGTTTGACATCCAGAACAGTGAACGCTATTACGGATTAAAAAATCAATTTCACCAGCGAAGTTGACAGTGAGACACAAAAATTTACAAAATCATACCTAGTGGCATGAATAGTGCATGAAATCAGAAAATAATAAGTTTCATACAAGCTATATAAAGAGCCAAGTCCACATAATTCCCAAAAAGGCATGTAGAAACAGAATATATAATATCATAGAAGCAATGACAGACGGTCGCTTCAATTCATCGTACATAACTAAATCAAATCGTAACTGATGTGAAATTATTGCAAACTATCAAACATTACCTCTTGCTCATACACTGAAGTCAAACCTTCTGCTTGGACTGGAACCACAGACTCATGCACTGCCACCTGAAAAGATGTGTAGTTCCCAGCAGCTGCTGCAACTTCAACAGGACCTTTCATCTCTGGCGTTGTTGTGAAGTAGTCTGAAGCCATAATTTTACTCAACTTCTCCCTCAACCCAGCATCTAGAAATCAACTCCATAAAAAATCATATTTAAATTCACAAAAAGGGGAAAAAATATCATGATAAACTACTATTATAATTCCTCATTCAGAAACAAGCAATATAAAAGTATCAACAACTAAATTGCACGATAACAACTAAAAATCAACATACGCTAGCCACAAAAAAACCAGCATAGAAGCTCAATAAAGGTCGGACAGATCAAAGAGGATTCAACTACCTCCCACAGATGCGTCCTACAACTACCTCAAAAATAATAAAATCACCAACGCTATCACCACATTAACAAAAACAAGGTACATATTTTTGAGCCTATCAAGGTGTACACAGCTTTTTGAAACTCGGAGAAAGGGACAAAGTAGCTGTACAAGTATCAATGGAGTCAGGTATACCCAATTATCACCAATATATAAACTCACATTCATATAGAAAACACCTCTGATGCTCAGACTTAGCATTCCAACCGTCATACTCACATCAACACGACACTGGTATAGGTATGAAATATGGGATGGATCCTTCAATTTTCAAGTAGGTATGGCAATTGTAATTAATTATGTCATTTCTAACTTTTATTTATTTTTGTGCTTTTGTAATGTAAATTTATCCTTTTTTGGTGTTTTAGACTTTTAGTATAAATTTCTAGTTGTTTTTACTTTTAAGTGACATGTTCTATATTTTAACAATTTGGCACTTAATTATTATTTAACTTTTTACATGTGAATTCTTGGAGAAAAAATTAAGTGTGAAAGTCATATGCACATACTCGTGTCCGAAATTTGGCATCTTTTAGTCATGTCCTCGTATCCTACATTTTAAAAAATAAAAGATCCACCACTTATACCCGTACCCGAGACCGAGCATCATAGGATATAACACACACACAAACGCTGAGTTAAAATTACACATGGGCATGGAGCTTTTTTGTAAGGAACCA